GTAATGGGTTTGTCCATGTTTCTACTTTTGAGGAAGTTGACTCACTGCCATTCATTAATTAGCATACATCATGAAATGACTTCGTGCATATCCTTGTTATTTCATCGAAGGACTTCTAAGCAGGGTTTAGTGCTGAACTCGTGATGATTAGTGTAATCCTACTTTTATCTGATTAATGAGAACTCAGTTTCTTTGTAGGGCCCACCATAGTATATCTTTTGCTACTCCATCATAGGCTTTTGTGATTTATTTACTTATGCCATTCTCCATTGAGTGTTTAGTAAGTAGATGCTGGATTGTCTCCATAGAGGATCTATTTGGCATAAATCCAAATTGGCTATCAGGCAGTGTTTGATTCTTCCATTATATTTTGTTTTTCCACTTTCCCATATTTCATAGCGTGATTCGTCAATTCCTCGAGGAGTTTACAGCTCCGCATCCCTTTTATTTTCATATATTGGTATTGTAGTGCTCTTCCTCCACTCATTTGCAGTGTATCTTCACTTTAAATTTTATTTGATAGTTTTTTTAGCCACTCAGCTCTTACATTTTCATAGTTTTTGGTATTTTTAAAATATGTTTCCCCCATCTTTGTAAGTAACTCCACCAAACTCTTTAGTGTTAATTGGAGTTTCATTCTTATATTTGGTTCATTGTTTCCAATTAATAGTACGACATTTAATAATCCTTGAAAATCCTTTTCTCATATATCGAAATGTATTTCCTATTAATTTTTTTTTATCTAAACTGTCTTTATCTGTGAAGTATGTTTTTTAAGCACTATCTATATCTGGTTCTACGTCCATCCTATTTGGATTTTGTTTTCAGTCTATTTTTATTAATAAAGTCTGTTCCTTACACATTTAACTTGGTCCACTTTCCATGTGAAACCTTTCTTTTTCTTTTGCTAAATTTGTAAATTTCTCTGTGTCATTCCCCCTCTGTTTTGATTGCTGTAAAGACAGATTTCTCATTTTATTTTTAACCAATATAGACGTCTTTATACTCCAAAACTGATCATTAACCTTATTTTCGGGAGTTACCCTGCCATTTCTCGTGATGAATCTTCTGCCCGAGTTTGGTTACTCAAATATCCTTTGGTTTATTTGTGTATTTTGAGACCGTATTATTCCTTTGGACAATGGAATGCTGTTGACACTAAATTCAAAAAATCTAAAGGTGCCTTTAGTTTTTGTGGATCTAAGGTCAATGGAATGACAGTTCAAGACGAATGAAGTAGAGATATGTTACCGCTATTTCTTTAGTACTGGATTCAACTATAGCTCTTAATTCAATGACATGTTACCCTTGCCAAAAAATAAATATGTTACCACTGGTTCTTTTATTCGTTTAATTTTTGTGGCTTAACCTTAATGTAAGAATCGAATATGAACTTCAAATGTGCTTCTTTTGGCAGGTGAGAGTCAATGCTTTGCTTTGTCTAGGAGATTTGGTTCCTACACTTGATAAGCGTGCTATTTTGGATATTTTGCAAACAATTCAGCGTTGTACAGCAGTTGACCGTTCTGCTCCTACCCTTATGTGTACCCTTGGGGTGTCAAACTCAATTCTTAAGAAGGTAATAGTTTCCAATAATGAAACTGGCTTTGGAGTTGCTTTATTTGTCTCCCTTATATTGTTATGTATTATTTCAATTTACAACTCATTGTCCTTACTTCATGATTTTCAGCATGGGGCGGAATTTGTTGCAGAGCATGTCCTCCCACTACTCACACCTCTTCTTACTGCCCCGCAATTAAATGTTCAGCAGTTTGCCAAATATATGCTCTTTGTCAAAGATATTCTGAGGTATTAATTTACATTGTCAAGCTTCACTCTATTGTGTTGGGGGGATTTGCAATGTCTGCGTGTGCTTACATACATGCTAATCGGTTTCAGCATTATGTATTTGGTTTTTTACGTCTTTTAGTTTTCTGATATCAAGTGTTATTCTCTTTTTATGTAATGGTTTTGTGGCAGGAAGATAGAGGAAAAACGGGGAGTTACTGTGACGGATTCTGGAATCCCAGAGGGAAAACCATCTCCATCTGCCAATGGGCTCCAGTCCCAAGTCCCAAGCAAAATAAGCGGAAATGTCGCCACCGCTGCAAACGGCAGTCCAGGATGGGATGAAGATTGGGGCACCATTAGAAAGCAGCCTTCCAATTCCCTCCAAAATTCTACAAATAGCATTACCTCAACTTATCCCATTCAGGGTATTGAACCAATTCAAGTAACTTCTTCACAACCAAATTCCTTGTTGCGAACTGCAGTATCTAGTCAGCAAACACCCGCGTCATGCCCCCCAGTTGATATAGAGTGGCCTCCTCGGGCGTCCTCTGGAGTTACCCCTCTTGGTGATGCTGAGAAGCAATCAAATGCAGGAGCATCATCCAGTTCCAGTTTTGATGACATAGATCCTTTTGCCAACTGGCCCCCACGGCCTAGTGGCTCAGTAAGTGGAACTGGCCCTTCCAACAATGGTGCAATAGAATCGCCCAGGAACAAATATGGTCCCAATTCATTCTCGAGTACATCAAATAGTATGAACCTCTACAGCAACGACAATGACAGTTGGGCCTTTGGCACCCAAAGTTCTGTTGAGCAAATAGGACTGAATCAAGGCAACGCAACTTTGAATACTGGTAGTTTGGGTAGCTCAGGTTTTAACCCCCAGAGTTCTATTGGGTTTTTGAAACAGACTCAGTCCATTTCAGCTTCAAGTGCTTACACAGATAAAAAGTCAGCTGATTTGGGATCCATATTTGCTTCTGGCAACAATGCGCAGACAGCACCTAGACTTGCCCCTCCCCCATCAACTGCTGTAGGTCGAGGAAGAGGTAGAGGGAAGGGTGCTAGTACAGTGTCTCGGTCCAGCCATGCCAAATCAGCATCTGGACAGCCACCCCTTTTAGATCTGCTATAAGCTTATAATACAATGTTTGTATCTTCATTAACGTAGGATAAAAAAAGCAGCACAACAAAAGATTTGTGAGTGGCCCATGTAGAGTATCCCTGCCATGCTGTGTGGAGAGACTGTTTTTGTAAATGATTTTGAGATACTACGTCATATTTCTAGCGTGGCCGACAGGAGCAGCTCTCGGGGATGGCAAGGTTTGTTATGTATTTGATCTATTGTGCTTAGTTTGTATTTTGTTGCGATTTGGCACCAAATTTTGCATTGTAATTTGAAAGCTTCTTTTGTTTAATTCTTCTGGATAGTATATTCTTGGTTGCAGGCCCAGCTTCAGTGACTGGGTTGGAAATCAATAAAAGAGATTAAGGTTGTAAATGCTATTGGAATCTCTACCAGACAATATTTTTTACTTCATTTGATTTATTTTTACATGAGCGATGTTCGGAGAGGAGACTAAATGCTCTAAACCACTTTTAATTACAAGCCCCTTGCGATGCATTGCAACACATGAATAAGTGGATGGTAATAATTGGAAAAACTTAAATAAATAATTCCCCCATTTCTTATGATTGACCTAATATGCTTTCAAAGTTTGCCATTTATTATAAAAATAGTGATTGTGTCCTTTGGTCTCGAAAAACAAAAATGGTTTTAAGAGTATGATCTAGGGCACAATGATCATGTGCAATCAACTTCATGAGAAGATGGTCGAGATGTATTTGAACATGTCCACAGTGGCGATTGGCTTTTCAAGATGAGTTTTTGATGGCTACTAGCCACTTCTTCCTTTCTATTGCAACTACCTCTTCAAAAAGTAATCCCAAAGCATAGCACATGTCATGCATGAACCAATCAATAATATCATCAAATGAACTAATTACCAGAACAAAATGAGTATGAAAGTAATTGGACAGCGGCATCCAAGGGCTGAATGGCTAAAGGGCGTCATTAGCGCCTCCACTTTTCAGTGATGAAATGGACAAAAGAGAAACATGGAAATGGAATATGGGGAATTTGAATAAAGTGGGCGTTATTTGTGCACTCTTTTTTGGTTTTGGTTATGGCTTTCCCTTTCCTGCCTAATTAATTACACATGACCCAAAATCAGGGACTTGCTTTCTCCATTGACGAGGCATTTGTACTCAATGGTCGGGACCATCAACAAGCACTGTGCATGAGCTAGTGACTCCCATTTTTAACTTGCATTTTAGTGAGTTCATGTAGAACAAGAAATTGTTTTGTGTTTTTGATACATTCAGCATCGTCGATGAGGTGCATCAATCTCATTTAAATCATAAAAGGTTTTCTATCGCAAATAGTCTTTGAATTTTATAAAAGTGTTTATTTTTCAAATCAATCAACGTGGTTCTTAATTTTTGATATACACATCATTTTTCGTTACAACTAATATTATTTCTTGACAAGATTCGAAGGGTTAGTTTTCATCAAAATATAGCTTATCTGCCCAATAGACAATAAAAATTGGGTTTTTTCTTCTTCTCAACAATGTCATATGCTTTTTATTTACAATTTCACATTGGGGTTCCATTAAGGAGAACAAATGACCGATTCTAAATAAAAAATAACAAATGACCTTATTGAATAAAAGGTGTAAGATTATTTTGTCTCAGTATGTTGTATATTGAAAAGAAGAAAAAACACTCATGCATTTTGGTAAATATGTGGCATGACCATAATAAAGATTTTATGGGTAAGGAGTGAACTATTGTCCAATCTGGACAATATCTCCACGGCCATTGACCAGGAGAAAGAGGCGCCAATGCATGCCATTCTTGATAATTATTCTTGAGAATTTAATCATAATTAATGTTGCTAAAGTGGTAGTTAGGACAGGAATATACACCAGTAATCCATACTTGTATGCTCAATGCGCCAACGGAGGGAAGGTTTACCATCCCAAAATAAGGAAATTAAAAAGGCTCAGGAACATGCTGAGTGAATTGTGGGTCAAGGTAACCCACTTAAAAGAACCCTAAATATTATTATTTTTTCAACAAAAACAAAGATTATTTTCCCTATTATATCTATTCGACTCCTATTACCGAATTTTGATATTATCATGCAGCATAATGGAGCATTTGATTCCGTTAGGGATTTCAATTATTTATCATGTTGTATTAACCATCTATAACATCAGTCAGTAATAAGTAGAAGAAAATATCAACTTAATTTCCTATGAGTTTAACCCCTGTTCTTGCTTTCACTCTTTCCACTCTGTATCTTGTTTCTGTGTCCATAAAAGCAAAGCTACCCATTTTCTCAGCTCTTTCATGCTCCAAGTGAAGGGGGCAAAACGTGCCATTTCATTGTGGGGCCCATCTTGGGCTCCCTCGTCATTCATCTGATGGTTACAATGTGTCTCAAGAACCAAGATCAGAGGATAAGGGAGCTTCTGTGGGGCTTCAATTTCCTGCTATTGATCATCAAACATCATAGTTAAACAATTCTACCCACATCTGTGGTCCTAGGGAGCTTCTGCTGGGCTTCAATTTCCCACCTCGGAGTTAACTGCATTCACATTTGATCTTTCGGATGGTACAAACTTTGATTTCCAAGTGTAGCTACACCCTGCAGTTTCATCAAACTGTGATACTTCGAAGGTGCAACAGCACCAGCCTGTGTGCATAGTTCTACTACTGCTGGAGCATGCCCATAAAAGCCCCTCCCTTTGTTCAAAAGCACTTGAGGATCCTGAGGTCGCCGCCGCCATACAATCTTTGGAGGCATAAGATCATCTACATTTGCCTTTCTCCAAAAGTGGGTTCCCTGCCAACTCTCATGCTTAAAAATTCCACAAAGCCTAGCCTTATGCCCAGATGGCCCTATATGAACTTCTGAACAATGGTTACATACTTTTGCTGGATAAACCATCAACAACTTCTCCACGCCATTTCTGAGAATTTCCCATGCCCTCAAAGTTCCACTGGCAATCATAAGAAGTTCATCAGATGACAATGACTCAGCTCCATCAACACTACAACAATCACTTTCTGGGCTCCAATTTGAATACCGATTTTCATCATTTGCCCCTGCTTGCCAGCATAGCTCGACAACTGCAGGAACACGTTCAAAGTCAAACCTCTGATGGGCTTAATAACATCCTGGAACATGTGCTTCAGGTGAAATGCCTCTACTGGAGCAAGCACATCATTTAAACCACCAGTTATCCATTCATGAACACGATTCTTGTCACGATGTTTGAAACCACAACAAGTCTGAATTAAGTGGCCTTTCTCGCCTATGTATATTTCTGGACAGAACCTGTAAAAATAGGATATGGATGAAAAACGTTGGCCTTTCTTTTGAGTCACAGAAACTGTCCAGCAGAGCAGGAGGGAGAATGGAGATCAATTAGATTAACTCTAATTTGGAAAACACAGCTAGTGCAGCTCTCAAAAATAGCAGTTAGGGAGCTCAGGAACACGTAGATATAGTGGTCTAATTTATCCGAGACGAAATACAGAACATAAACTCTGAATTTTCCATGAAAATATTTTCAGAAGACAGATCCAATAAAATTTGTATTAAAAAAGGGCTTAAGTATGTATTCCACTATTGACAGCTACAAAGCGACTAAATTATCCTAGATTTCATGGAATTTTCCTCATAACACAAGCCTAGAATTGAAAAGAAACACGAATATCAAAGTCGATATTATTTCATGAAACATCTAATAGTAAAGTGAGGATTTCAATGCCAAATAGTTCAAGAAAAAGTAACATAAAAAATTAAAAATGGCAGATGAGGGATTTACTTGCAGGCCATAACTGGTAACACTTTGAGGAGGGTAGAGACACCTTGCATAATGAGCCTCCGGGAATTAAGGACCTCCTGGGCCACTGGAATCATGCCCGGTACTGGGTAATCTTTAGCCCGGTCTTGGATTCTCTTCTGAATCATAGGCTTTAGCTTCCTTAAGTCCATCTTATTTGAGCTAAAATACCTTGAAAAGGTGTACAATAGTTTGACATTGAAATTGGAACTCTCGCACAATTTCTTCCTCAGTACCATAATTTCCTTTCGTGTCAAAACTTTTCAATCATATAAAATCACATCTGCTCCACAAAGGGTAGACAAAAGCCAATGAGCCAAATGCAGAAAACACCACAACAAGTCACCCAAATCAAGTATTGACATATTCAGAGATGCTTTGGAACCAAACCCCTATTTCATATTTGGATGGTATAATGTGCAACACGTTACTAGCTTAGCACAGCAGTACAAAAAACAGACACAATAATTACCAAAGTAGAACTCTTTAATCGATTCAAAACCACGGCTTCCATAAAACCACCTTACTTTAGTTCTATACACAAATTCCACCCATTATCATGAAAATGAAAACCACCATGACCCAATTCTATATAGAAAGATTATACAAAATCCCCATAAACTTTAGGGAGCGTTTGTTATGCACGACTGGACTAGACTGGACAGGACTATATTCAAGGACTGGCTTGGATTGGCTTGGACTTAGTCTTGTCCTATGTTTGGTGGAGTGCTAGACTTTTAAAGGGGGACTAATGGGAAAAATAGTGCTATTTAGCACTATTCTATGTTTGGTGCAATTCAGGACAGGATTATATTTTTAAACCATAAAAATAATTATTGTAGACGTTAAATCATTTTTTTTTTCTGTTCTTAAATATGTATTATAAAAATTACAAACTAATATATAAATCCAAAACTAATTTAACTATTATCAACATCTTCAACCAATATAAAGTCAAAAGCCATCAAATACCAATAACATACAACATATTTAAGATAATGAAAGTGCAGATACACATGAAAGGTAGACTAGGAAAAGCAATATGCTTAAACATATATCTAACTGAAGTACCTCACTCAATGTTTCACTTAGGTGCTTGCGCTTCCCACAACCAAGAGCTGCTTCCTCCTCACTTTGCTGCAATTCTCAATCTCAATCTTTAAGGAATATTAACAAATGAGAACTGCTGCAAGCTAAATAAATGCAAGCAAATAAAAAATTAGATTTAAAAATACATAAACACTAGACTCAGTTGACCAAAAAATTCATATTTATCCTTTAATACAACCAACAAAGTTTGACAGAACACATCACCGAAAAATAATTAACAAATTTCGAACAGCAACAAAATAGTAGTTGGCTTTGTCACAAAAATGCAGCGAATTTTTAACACAACAGATTGAAAGAAGGATAGGTCTAACAAGATAACTGTTAATTCTCCCAAATATCTTGTTTGGGATTATTCCTTGCAGCTTCTGCACAAAGCTAAATGAACACACTCCAAAACATTGTCACAAATGAAATGACATACACTTGTTAGATTGCACTTCAACCAATTAACTCAACCCAAACACTGAACCAAACACCAATACAGCAAATCACTCATATTGATGTTTAGGTTCCATAGCTATTGTCTAAGATTATAAATTGTCAATTCAAATACTTCCTGCTCAATCTCCAATAATGTTCTCCCAAACAAACCCACATATAGTAAGCCCCAAAATTTCTATCCCATCATGTTCATGCACACACAAAAAAAGTCGAACCAAGAAAAAACAGAAATTGGTTAGATTTGAAATCTGAAATCTGAAAAACCAACGAAGTTGAAGACGAAGAAACTACTTAGATTTGGCTTCCAGTCAGATAGGTTGAAGCTGAAGAAGACGACGATGACGTTGAAGCTAAACCCTCTTGATCGAAGACGAAGGAGACGACGACGAACGTTGAGCTCGCTCGCGCGTTTTTTTCTCCCGTGTTTTCAAGTTTTTGGGGTTAGCTTAATTAAGCCCTTCACTTGAAGTGGGCTAAAATATGCCCAGTTAATGAGCTACGAATCCTACCAAGTCCAAGTCTTAATTAAGACATTGTTTGGCCCAAGATAGGATTAGGCTTCCTGCCCTTAAATTACAAGGGACAAAAAGGAAAACCCATTTTCTCAAGTTTATCAATTAACAAACTTTATACGTTAATAATTCATATAAATCAAAGAAAATGAAAAGTCACTTTTGGTCTCTGTAGTTTGGCACTTCAACTACTTCTGATCTCGTAGTTTCAATTCCGTCAATTTTGACCATGTAGTTTCATATTTGTAGTAATTCAAGGACAAGTAAATATTCATGTCAATTTCTTTGATGATGCAAGGGGCAATTTCGTCAACCCAAAATCCTTGAGCATAAAAGCTCGTCTGGTTTAGGGTTCTTCAAAAATTGAGATTAGTGGTTGAATTTCGAGCCCTAATATGAAATAGGAAGAATTTCAAACAAGTTTTTATGCTAAAGGGTTTTGGGTTGACAAAATTGCCCCTTGCATTGTTAAAAAAATTGACAAAAATACTAACATGTCCTTGAATTGCTACAAATACGAAACTACAATAGCAAAATTGATGAAATTGAAACTACAGGGTCAAAAGTTGTTGAAATGCCAAACTACAGGGACCAAAAGTTACTTTTGGCCTTAGATTTAAGTATGCAATCAATCAAACATAACCAAGAAAATAAACAACATATCCATAAAACAGTAACAAGGATGAAGCGAATAAGTACCTCAATGCAAAGACTGTGAATCCGAGCAAGTGATGAGAAATAGGAAAATCGGGTGAGAAGGTGGGAAATTAGGAAAAGGTTTTGGCTTGTCCAATTCTCAAGTTTTAAACATTTTGCTTGTTTTGTTATGTATTTTACTTGGTTTGCAAGCAACTCGAACTCGCACCATTATGAGATGTGCACATATGGTGGAATTTGTTGGGAGATACCAAAATGAGAGCAGTCTTATGCATATTTGATTCTTTATATTAACCATTAACCCAGATCGAAATCGCATTCCATAGCATAGCATGGCAAAAGTTGCAGCCTTACAGAAACCAGAAAAATAGTAAATTATTAAGCAAACAAAACAAAACAAAACAAAGCAAAGTCCTAGTTTCAGTTTGTTACAACTTTATCAATCTTGTAGGAACAAAATTTGCTCCTAAGCTCTCCACCAATCTTCTATGAACTAAAAAAAATGCAAGAACTAACAAGTGTAACATAGAAGTGCACAGATGGCTGCGGCCGCCTACTAGAAATCTTAAATTTGAAGCATTTGTCTAGTTTTCTTTGAAATTGATTTGATTGTCAATTGTTTTTAGGATGGAAACTATAGTAGTTAACCACAATGCAATGCATGAAAAGACGTAAAACATTCATTTCCCCAAATCTAATAATTTTATACACTCAACTTTTGAACGAAGAAATGTTCAAAAGCTTCAAATTGCAACAAGAATAAAAAATAAAAAAAATCTCCATTTAGGGGATTAGGGGGGAGTATCGTATCTGATGGATCCATTCTCTAGTAATAGTACTGATATTGCTTCTACTATGATCGTTATTAGCTTTTCCTCGAATCAAGAGCCAGCAATCCTGAAAGCCTTTACTCATCATGCCTCAAGCGTTTGATATTGGAATAATTTGGTTGTGACCCAGTAAATCAATTGGTACAATTAATCAGAACTATATATTAAAATAAGATGTCCAAGTTTTGAAACTTTCAAGGATTCAGTTGTACTCTTTACATGCATGACTAATCTAATAAACATTAATCACCCAAGATCATTGGATGCACTGTAACATTTTAATTTGTTTTTATTTTTATTCAACCGAAGTTCGAAGAGGAGACTAAATGTTCTAAATCACTTCAACTACAAGAGCTTTGCAATGCATTGCAACACTGATGAATAAGTGAATGATAATAATTGGAAAAGCTTCAAATAATCCCCTGATCATTTCTTATGATAGACCTAATATGCTTCCATATGTAGGATTTGGAGTTCATGTCTGGGTTCGCGTTTCAATAAATAAGTCTGAAGATTGGGATTTGGGCATGAATTTGCAATTTAAGGCTCATGTTCAGGATTCAAAGTTTAGAGTTTAGGATTTGCGATTTAGAGATTAAGGATTAGATTCCAGTTCCAAACCAAAACTAAAACGCAAAAACAATGTCCACAAAAAGGAAAGTCAACTGTCACTAATCTTCCTCCGAGACATGACATAGAGAGCACCACCTAGTTATTTTAGGGCTTCAATGTACCAATGAGCAGTGAATCTACCATGACTAAGACGCAAAAAAACTGAAGATCAAACGGGATCCGAGGAAAAAAGCACCCCGTTATGAAGCTTTCTCTCTCTTTTTGCTGTGTTTTAAGAGTTGGGCAGTTTAGATTGTACATCACAGTTCTATTCTAAAAAAAGTTTGCCATTTTTTATATATGAAAAATATTGATTATATTCTATGTTTTTAAAAGAAAAAATTTGTTTTACGAGTATGATCTAAGGCACACTTCTCCTTACCTGAGCCCCCTTCAATTTTATGTTCAATCAACTTCATGAAAAGATGCTGGTGGAGGTTTATTTGAACATGTCCACAGTGGTGTTTGGCTTTTCCAGTTGAGTGAAAGAACGAGTATAGTTTTTGATGGCTATATACTATCCACTTCTTCCTTTCTATTGAAACTACCCCTTCAAAAAGTCCAATAAAAATTAGTAAAATACATTTGAAAAAGAGAAGTGCTTAGTCCTAAAGCAAAGGAATAAACTAATAAATATTCCAAACGAAAGCAACACACATGTCAATGTCATGCATTTACCAATCATCTCAACTCAAAATCAAATATTACAAGAAAGAAAAAAAAAGATATCAAATAATTGGAGCCGATTTGTTTAGCGGCATCCAAGGGCTGAATGGCTGATGGGCGTCATCAGCGCCTCCACTTTTCAGTGATGAAATGGACAAAAGAGACACATGGACATGGAATATGGGGAATTTCAATAAAGTGGGAGTTATTTTTGCACTCTTTTTTGGTTTCGGTTATGGCTTTCCCTCCCTTTCCTGCCTAACTAATTACACATGACCCAAAATCAGGGACTTGCTTTCTCCATTGACGAGGCATTTGTACTCGATGCCCGTGACTCGGGACCATCAACAAGCACTGTGCAAGAGCTAGTGACTCAGATTTTTACTTGTATTTCAGTGAGTTTATTGTTTTTGACTCATTTAAATCGTAGAAGGTTTCTATGGCAAATGGTATTTGAATTTTATAAAATTTTATAAAAATCGGTTCTCAACAATCTCATATGCTCTCTATTTACGATTTCACGTTGTGATTTCATTACGGAGAGCAAATGACCTTATTAAATAAAAGACATGAGGTTATTTGTCTCATTGGTAAGTACATTATATTTTGATGAAATGCGATGACAACATATACCAACATTGATCGATTTAAAAGTTTAAAACTAATCAGAGAAAATTCCTATTAGAAACCACGTTATAAAACATGCACTAGTGTTAAATATCTAACTTGGATAAAAACCAACGTATAAACCAAAGAAAAACCACACCAACGTGATGTGACACTCAACAAATTTTCAGACACGACAGTCAAAACGAATCTATCTATAATTCATGGCCACTGGCCTGAAGAAAGAGGCGCCAATGCATGCCATGCATGATAATTATGCTTAAGAATTTAATCATAACTAATGTTGGTAAAGTGTTTAGTTGGGAGCGTTGATGATGGGATAGGATAGGAATTCCTTTGTTGCAATTACATTTATGCTTCCGAAAATCAGGAATATATACAAATACAGTAATCCATACTTTAATGGGCAAACGGCGGGAATGTTTACCTTCCCAAAATAAGGAAAATAAAAAGGCTCAAATCAAAAGGTTTACATGCTGAGTGAATTGTGGGTCAAGGTAGCCCACTTAAAAAAACACCTAAATATGCAAATGATTTATTAGTGTAGTGATTTGGAGCAAATGCTCCCTTCATGAAAGGTCTTGGGTTCGAATCCTAATGTCTGTATAGTGTGAGTGAGTTTAGTATGTTATCGCCCCTTTTAATAGAAATGATCTTTTTAAAAAAAAACCCTAAATATATATTTTTTTTCAATTAAAACAAAGATAAGATATATAGGTATAAATTTTGTTCGTATTTTTTTCAACAAAAACAAAGATAAGATATAGAGGTATTGATTGTCTCCTTCAAGAGTTGAACTCAAGTCCTCAATCTTTCCCCTTATTATATCTATTCAACTCATATTATCATTTTTTTTAAAGAATATTAGCGATAGTCTAAACTACAAGAAGAGGGAGGTTTCACACACACACACACACAACCAAGATGCCATGGGGGTTCGAACTGAAACCACTGATCTGCAAATCAATGCATTTTTCCACTAAGCTTGACCTTGTAGGCCCTGTTGGCCCTATTACGAAATTTTGATATTGTCATGAGATGTAACATATGCATGCATATGCCACCTATAATTATGAAATCACCATAATAACTTCATGTTCAAACTTAGAAAGAGAAAAACGCTAGTAGCCTAATCCATCATATTAGCATGGCAGGCAGTCCAATTAAACATCGATAAATTAAGGTGTACAGTGGGGTTTGTTTTCTTGGGTGGAGGAAAAAGAAAGAAAAGGAAAAGAAGCTTGTGATTCCATAAGAGGTTCAAGATTAATCTCAAGTTCAAAAATTATTTTAAAAACTAACAACGGTTTAATGGTATTGTGGTCAAACAATATGGGGTAAAATATTTTCTGATATATTTTCATTCTCCAAAATGAGGTATTTATAAAACAAGTGTGTAAACCCTAATATGGTTATACAAGAAAACAAATAAATTCCTAATTACACAAGATTTGTACAAAAGAAATAAAATCCTAATAGAATAGGAAATAAATCTCCTAATCGAACTAGGATCTTGCCAACACTCCCCCTCAAGTTGGAGCAAAGA